CCCACCCCAACTCCGACTAACGCTGCGTGACGAATGGCCAAAGGGAGATAATAAAAAGTACAAGTCATAAAATGAGCATAAAGTAGTAAAAAATCTGCCAGACGTAAACTTATAATAAATATGCACATAAACAAGAAAAATCACAAATTATGAGTGAGTATAAGACGGTATGACATAAAAACGACAAGTTGCGAAGTTGTTTGTGTCTTTAGTTAGAACACTTGATGCACCAGAAGGTTCCAAAGTGCTTTTTTTGTAAACAGGATCTCGTTTATAAAGTGTAAAAACATGAAAAATATGGTGCAGAATATGTATTTTTTTAATTTAAATTTAATGTTTCAATCTGGCGGTACTTAACTTAAGTAATGTTTGTACATTAAGTATGAACCACAATAGATATGGCTATTATGTCATACTTAGCGTAAATATAATTTGTGAAGACCCCGTTTTAAATTTACTTAATTTTAAATTTTAAAAGCATCAACTTTTTTTGCGGATTCATAAACCATAAATCCAGGAGTATGTTATTTTATAAAATTTAAGTATCATCTATTACGAAAACATTTGAGCTGACGTTATCAAATCACGTTATTCCCAAGATACACTGGGTGAATCACTAAGTGCGAATTCCTCGATACCTCATTATTAGAAATATAAAAAAAATCAAAAACCAAAGTTGTACGGTTCTTTGAGGACTATAGAGAGGGTTCTACTTTTTAAGGTGTAACAAACAACGTAGTTCGATTTTTCAGTTTTTTCAAATCGAATACCCTATATTTTTTATCTTATAGGAGTAGTATTTTTTGTTCTCTTTCTTTTTTGTTGCGTATTTTCTATATTTAACTGCGATTTTTCACTTTTTTAAGAGACACATCGACGTACTAGAAGTAGAACAAAATGAATATAATAAAGTACACGGTGATCGATTTGGATTTTTTTTAAATTTCTAGTTTTCCATTTTGTATCACAGTTATTCGTTTTTTCATTTCATTATTTTTTTCAATGTTTCTTTCAATTTTATAAATTTTCATTTATTCAATTTTTCAAATTTTCAATCTTTGAATTTTCGATTCCTCGATTTTCCAATTTTTAAATTTTTTAATTTTGCAATTTTTGGATTTCCAGTTATCCGATTTCTTTAATTTTCAATATTTGATTTTCAGTTTTTAGATTTTTCAAAGTTTTCATATACTTTTTCGTTTTTTTTTATTTTTCAATTTTGCAATTTTTCCGTTTTTCCATTTTTTTTTGTTCGAAAAGTTGCAAAATCCAAAAATGAAAAATCGAAAAAATAAAAAAATCGTAAAAGAAATGAAAATCGAAAAATTGAAACATTGAAAAACCAAAAATCGAGAAACTTAGAATTCAAAAAAATTTAGAAAACCCAAAAATTGTTCAATCAAAAGATTCTAGAATTGTGAAAATTGTAGTAAAGTTGAAATGGGTAAATGGAAAAAATTCTAAAATTGTAAAACTGAAAAAGTGAAAAATCTTATAAATTATCACATATTTAAAATGAAAACCTAAATCCGAAATTGTAAATAAAAAATTTGAATAAATGAAAAATTAGAGAATTGAAAAACTGAAAAATAAAAAATTCAAAAACTCGAGAAATTTTAAATAGAAAAACTGCAAAATTTAAAAATTGAAGAAACAAAAAAAAAGAAATATTGAAAAATACCAATTCAAAAAATTGAAGAAATGAGAAACCGAAAAAATTAAATTTGAAAACAAAAACTTAAAATCGAATAAAGAAAAGTTTTAAAGTCCAATAATTGAAAAATGGAAAAATGAAAAATATGCAGAATTATAATTATTATTACATATTTAAAATGAAAACTAGAAAACTAGAAAAATTGAAAACAAAAATTGAAAAATCGACAAACTAAAGTTCACATTAAAAAAAGAGAAATTATAAAATCGGTACATCGAAAATCGAAAAATTGTAAAAATAAAGTAAATAAAAGCTAAACCAAAAGCTGTAGATCAAAAATTTGAATAAATGAAAAATTAAGAATTGAAAAACTGAAAAATAAAAATTGAAAACTCGAGAAATTTTATACCTATAGAAAAATTGTAAAATCGCATAAAAAAACTGAAAAAATGAGAAACCGAAAAAATAAAAATTGGAAAAACAAAAAATTATAAAATCGAAATGTTGAAAAATGGACTAATTGAAGAAATAAAGAAAATAAAAAAACAAAACAAAAAACTGCAAATGTAAAAATTGAAAAAATTCGAAAATTGAAAAATTTAAAAACTCGAAAAATTGCAAATCAAAAAACCGAAGAAACAAAAAAAAAGAAAGAAAAATTGAATAATTGAAACATTTAAGTGAAAAAATCTGCGGGAGTGTTTTTTGTGCCACTGATCTGTACTTCATAGAATTTATCAATTTTTAAAATTTTTCAATAGATTTAAAACGTGAAAAGTGGCCCCGCCCACCCACCCCTACTTGGAATAATTACAAAGACTGGGAAGAGGCAATGAGAATATGTAAAAATATATAGGGTGTTTCATTTGTAAAAACTAAGTTGCCTGTTACGCCTTAAAAATAGAACGCTCTGTGTGGTTAAACGTAATTTTAGAGTATAAATATCAAAGAAGCGTTCTTTGATCTTTGACTTTTTTTTATCTTTAATAATAATTAATGAGATAACGAGGACCGCGTGCTTAGTGACTCACCCTGTATACAGGGTGATGAAAAATGACGGATAAGCTCCATAGACCACTGCTAAGAAGGATCTAAAAAACTAAAAAAAAAAAAATGGCTAAAAAAATCTCTGCACCAAGAAGATATTAAACTTCAAAGTTGAAGAAATAATTTCGTAATTCGGATTTGTTTTAATAACAGTTAAATAATTACTTATTAATAATTTACTAATAATTTGCCAGAATACTTAATTTTTTACTATTGGCAGATGTCATTTTTGACAATTTTTATCGGAATTTTAGATTCAATTAAAATCACCTTAAAACATATTAATACGAATTACAAAGTTAATTCATTAATATTTTAAAAAATTTGCTTCAGAGTTTTTTTAACCATTTTTTTTTCCTTCAGAACCTTCTTAACAACATCGAGCTTATCCGTCATTTTTTGATCACCCTGTATCAAATTTGACAAATATCAGGCCTGTAGTTTTAGACTGATCTGTCTCATAAAAACCGATAAACAGACGACAGACATTACAGACAAACGACAGACCTATTGTTTCGTATTCTAGGAGTCATGAAACCCCGAGAAAAGATGAAGCTGATGGAGATGATTTTAAAAGCATTTTATCAAATAAATTCATCAACTATTGAAAAAATTGGACAAAAATTATTTCGACACAACTTTCTTCGCCCTTGAAGTATAGTCGAACAAATTCGGCTTCTTCGAAAAATTATAAAATTTGATTTTGTTTTTTTTTATGCCTATGTGACTATAAATGAAAAAAAAATGTCAATGAGAATGTATTCGAACTCAAGCGCACAAAGTTAACGCCTTACATCACCCTGTCAGAACTTACTTGACTGCGTCGCAAATTTTGCACAAACATTTTAGTAAAGTAATTGTGAATTAAAATCAAAGCGGATTCATAAACCACAAGTATACGAGTACATTATTTTTTTAAATTTAAACAATGTTTGATGTACAAAATTTCATTCATTCATAAAATTTGACAGCACAACAAATTTATTATCTCACTACGGAAACGGAAGACCTATTTTTTCATATTCTAGAGGTCATGAAAAATAGAAAAAAACACGAAAGCAACCGTTATTAACAGACTTATTGTCGTGGAATTTTAAAAATAACTGTTATATATTTATAAACTTTATATAACGAAAGGGCAGTTTTGTTAGAAACAGTTTATCATTTTTTTTTAATTATTTTTGTGAAATCTTTGGATCACCTATCTTTAAAAATCAATATCTCATTTACTTATGGAAATTTTAGAACGCGGTTTTCAACACCGTTTCAAGCTTACAAAACTCCAGACATCGTATCAGACACATCGTAGACTTTTTTGTTGGAAATGAGACACAATAAAAAGAAACTTTTAGCAGCTTCTACGACACAAGCTTCTTTTTACTGCATCTCATTTCCAGTAACAAAATCCACATGGTGTCTGACACGATCTCAAAAGTTTTGTAAGCTGCTATCAGTGGTGGAAACCGCGTTCCGAGGTTTCCATAAATTAAAAATTCGTTGTGCAAACATTTCAACAAAATTAAAAAAAAAAAAAGATGAATTGTTGAAACTTGTTTGTTTTTCGGCTGAATTTATAGAACGTATTCCAAATTTAATTAAAAAAATTTCGTCATAACCACGTCATAAAATTTTAATGGACCCAAAAATAACGTTCTGAGCATACCTGGATTCAACACTGGCAATTTAATGTGTAATTTGGGCGACAGATCTTTCAACACGCTTAATTTTCATTCTTTCGCTTGTGACATCCAGTTCTAGTTCTAATAATAAAACAGCCAGACTTGAACAACAACAAATCACGTCGAAACATTGCAAAATCGCCTGAGTAATTTTTGTTTGAATAGCGACAAATAGTAGTTCCAGAAAACAACGAATAATAGTAGTTAAAAAATTAGATAAAACTAAAACACGCTGTTCACTGCGTTTATTTTCCTTTTAAACTATTTATTTCCGCCGTCTGCGGTGCTTTGGTTCAGATTACGACCGCAGTTTGAAAGATTTAGAATCGTTCGTCTGCGTATTGATTTACAAGAAACGTGTGAAAAAGTAATGTGAAAATGTAATTTTAAAAGTACCCGTAATACCCTGACCTATTTTTCCGCGCTAGAGTGCTCGATATTTTTTCACTTACACTCATTCTATGATCATTCGGCAAAACTGCGAGCACCGCGTCACCGCGAACTCGGCATTGTTAATCCAGTAATCCATTTTATAAAGCTCCAAAGATTAATGATCCCAAATAATTCGTCCGCGTCATCGTTCTAATCGCGAAAGTACGAACAAAACTTGCAAAGCTCACCTGTACCATGGACAAATCGACTCTTCTACCTGCTCCTTCAGCCCCTGCCCCGTCTGCCCTGAACAAGGCAAAAAGAACAAATCTTTATTATAATTAAATCCAAGTTTTTTAAGGTAGGGCAAAATTTTATCCCTGCATTCGTTGTATCTAGCTTCATCCCAATTAACGGTAGGATCGTCCATTTTATTGACAAGTACAACCAAATATTTTACACCGGCAGTTTTCGCCAACATTGCGTGCTCCCTCGTTTGGCCGCCCCTGTCGAATCCGGTCTCGAACTCTCCTTTCCTGGCCGAAATGACCAAAACGGCCAGGTCGGCCTGCGCCGCACCCCCGATCATGTTCGGGACGAAACTCTTGTGACCCGGAGCGTCCAAGATGGTGAAGTGCTTTTTGTCCGTCTCGAAGAACGCCCGGCCGACTTCCACGGTTTTCCCCTTGTCTCGTTCTAAAATCAACACGGTTACAACAGTCGTCAATGGAGCTCTCGATTTTACACGTTCAGACCACTCATTTGTTTTTCTATAACTCTTCCATGCTGTGCTTATGTATCACGTAACAATTCGAAAAGTTTCTGAAGTTCTTAAACTTTGAAATGACGTCATCAAATTTTAGAAGGAATGAGCAAACAGTTTTACTTGCGATGAAATCTCGTGGCAGCAATTGAACAAATTTACGAAACAATTTAATTTTGTGATAAAAAATGTTTAATTGAGTGATTTCAAATTATCTGATGTACTACTAAATTGTTTCAAAATGAATTTTTAATATATTGTAAGATATGTAAATGATTTCAAGGATGTTAGCGACTTATTGATAATTACTATTTTTATGTTTTAAATATGTTAAATAGATAAGTAAACTTCTACTGCGTTTGTAGCACTTTTTCAATTAGTTTGTGTTAGATTGCTAATAAGAAACTTAAACATATTTGAATTAATATTTTCGTCTGCTTTCACTACGAATAAAAAATTATTTTCAAAATTTTCTGTCGACGAAAGTTATAAGTCGAAAATTACAAAAAACAGAGATTTTCGTAATATTTAAATTCTATAAAAAATATATTAGACAACAAATGTTGAACTGTACACTGTGAGAGTCTTAAAAACAAATTATGAAAAGTGAAATTTTCAACATTTTCATGTGATAATTTATAAATTTTTCAAAAATTAACTGAATCTTTTGATCTTTAAGCCCTAATAAAACTAAGACTTTCAAATGGTGAAATTTCCTTTTGATGTTTATTTTTCGTTTTATATTTAATAATTACAATTAATTACAAACTTTTAAAGTGAACTAAATTTCCCAAATTATCAATTTTTCCCTAAGTCTTCAGAACTTTCAAATCAGTTTTTAAAACAAGTTGAAACTTAACAAAACTAAACAATCTGACATTTGTATCAAAAACATAACCATATAATAATAAAAATAACAATTTTAGTCACTTTTTAAGCTAAATAAAACCAGGCGGATTCATAAACCACAACTACATAACACCATTTCGTAAAATTAACCTGACCTGAGAGCCTCAAAAACAAGTTATGAAACCTAAAATTTTCGCACAAAACTATCGCGAAATATAAGTTTTTTTCAACATCGTCATAATGTGTAATTTTTTCCAAAATTATTAGAATTTTTAGATCTTTAACACCTAATAAAATAAAAAAAATTTCGAGGGGTGAAATTTCGTTTTGATCTTTATATTTCGTTTTATGTTGAGAAATTATAACTAATTAAAATATTTTAAAGTAAATTAATTATTAATAATGTTTACAATTCAAGTTAATTAAATTTTCCAAATTATTAAAAAAAGCTGGAACTTAACAAAATTGAGATAGCGAATTGTGGATTTTTCTCTAACTTCAGAAATTTCAAAAATTATGAAAAAATTTATACTGAAATATAAACAATTTTAAACATAAACAAACTTTCAGCATTAAAATCAGGATTGGAAAAACACGCACTTTTTTATAAAGAAGGTTTCCATACTTTTACGAAAAACTTGAAAAATTAATCGTGAAATGTAATTTTTTCCAAAATTATCAGAATTTTTATATCTTTAAGCCCTTATACAATTAAGATTTCTTTATCAAAAACGTTTCCATATAGTAATAAAAAATTAATTATTTTTTTTAGTCACTTTTTCACTCTCTAATAATAATATAAATTTAAATAAATGGAGGCGGATTCATAAACCACAAGTGTGCAATACCATTTTGTAAAATTAATCCGACCTGACATGAAGGCCTTAAAAACGAATTATGAAGCCTAACATTTTTACGAAAAACTTGAAAAATTAATGGCAAAATGTAATTTTTTTCAAAAATTATCCTAATTTTTAGATTTTTAAGCCCTAATAAAATTATGATTTTTTGAAGACTTTTTTAATCAAAAACGTTTCCATATAGTAATAAAAAATTAATGATTTTTTTTAGTCACTTTTTAGTTTTTCAAATATCTCGTATTATAATATAAATTTAAATAAATCGAGGCAGATTCATAAACCACAACTGTGCAATACCATTTTGTAAAATTAATCTGACCTGACCTGATGGCCTTAGAAACGAATTATGAAACCTAAAATTTTTAAGAAAAACTTGAAAAATTAATCTCAAAATGTAATTTTTTCCAAAATTATCAGAATTTTTAGATCTTTAACACCTAATAAAATAAAATAAAAAAAAAACAAGGGGTAAAATTTCCTTTTGATCTTTATTTCTCGTTTTATGTTTAAAAACTATAACTAACTAAAATATTTTAAAGTAAATTAATTATAAATTATGCTTAGCGCTACTCTTTGAAGTTTTAAAGCTCAAGTTAATCAAATTTCCCAAATTATCAATTTTTCCCAGTTTCCGGAATTTTCCGGTAGTTTTTTCGTTCGTTAAAAGAAGTTGAAACTTAACAAAATTGAGATAGCGAATTGTGGATATTTCTCTAACTTCAGAAATTTCAAAAAATATGAAAAAATTGATACTGAAATCTAAACAATTTCCACTGCTGCTTTAGAAACTTCCAACATTAAAATCAGGGTTTAAAAAAGTATGAGTTTTTTATCAAAAACGTTACCATACAATAATATAAAATCACGGTTTTTAGTCACTTTTTTATACTAAATAAAACCAGGCGGATTCATAACCCACAACTATATAACACTATTTTATAAAATTAATCTGACCTAAGAGCCTCAAAAACAAGTTACGACACCTAAAATTTTCGCACAAAACTATCGCGAAATATGTTTTTTCAACATCTTCATAATGTGTAATTTTTTTCCAAAATTATCAGAATTTTTAGATCTTTAACACCTAATAAAACAAAAAAATTTTCAAGGGGTGAAATTTCGTTTTGATTTTTATTTTTCGTTTTATGTTTAGAAATTATAATTTATCAAAATATTTTAAAGTAAATTAATTATAAATTATGTTTACAATTCAAGTTAATTAAATTTCCCAAATTATTAAAAAAAGCTGGAACGTAACAAAATTGAGATAGCGAATTGTAGATTTTTCTACAACTTCAAAAATTCCAAAATTAAGGAAATATAAACAATTTTCAGTACTACTTTCCAAACTTTCAGCATTAAAATCAGGATTGGAAAAAAACGGACTTTTTTATAAAGAAGGTTTCCATATTTTTACGAAAAACTTGAAAAATCAATCGTGAAATGTAATTTTTTTCCAAAATTATCAGAATTTTTAGATTTTTAAGCCCTAATAAAATTAGGATTTGTTCAAGTTTTTTTAATCAAAAAGATTTCCATATAATAATAAAAAAATAATGATTTTTTTTAGTCAGTTTTTGGTTTTTTAAAGATCTCTAACTATAATATAAATTTAAATAAATCGAGGCGGATTCATAAACCACAAGTGTGCAATACCATTTTGTAAAATTAAACTGACCTGACATGATGACTTGGCCGGAACCCACTTGACCTAAGGGCCTTAAAAACGAATTATGAAACTTAAAATTTTTACGAAAAACTTTATTTTTTTCCAAAATCATGAGAATTTTTAGACCTTGCAGCCCTAATAAAATTATGATTTTTTGAAGACTTTCTTTAATCAAAAACGTTTCCATATAGTAATAAAAAATTAATGATTGTTTTTTAAGTCACTTTTTAGATTTTCAAATATCTCAAATTATACTATAAATTTAAATAAATCGAGGCGGATTCATAAAGCACAAATTTAGACAGCATTTACTAAGCAAAATTTTTAGGCGACGTCATCAAAATGTTGGTGGGAACGACAATAAGACAAATTTTGGTCATCATTTTACCATCTACACGATTTTTCTAAAATACAAATGAAACTTGACAACAAGCAGTCCAATAGTTTCGGAGATTGTCTAATAAAATCAACGCGATGGACAACCAGACGGAAATGGGAAAATTTTTGTTTCATTTTATTTGCAATATTTTATTCTAAGCAGTGTTTAATTTATTTTGATGTAAACTGTATTTAAAAAAGCCGTAATACGAATTATAATTTAGTAATTTAAAAAATATATAAAAAAAAAAAACAAGAATGACCTAAAGCAAAAAGATTTAAATCGCGACGTAAAAAATTATTTGCTCTTATAAATTCTTAATTTTTTCCAAATTTTTCAGTTTTTAATCTTTGAATAAGGTCAATCAAATTTATTTTTTAGCGAAATTGACTAATTTTGAACAAAGGAAAAAAACGAGTTTTATTAAAAGCAAAATTTTCGAGTGTTGAATTTTTTCACAATTTCAGGTGTTAAAAAATATGTGGTGATTTTTAAATTTCTGCTCCAGTTGGCCATGGCGCGTACGTCAGAAACGGTAAGCGTCATGGCCAACTAAAGCAGAAATTTTCTTCTTGCAACTTCAATTATATAAAAGTTCTAAAAAAAAATGTACAGTGATTTTCACAACTTCCAACTCCCATTTTTCTTAGTTGTGGATGTTTTTTACAATTTCAAAGTTCCAAAAAAAATAAAAATAAAAAAAAATCTAAAAATTGAACACTGAAACGTAAACTACTACTACTTTTAGCATGTCTTCCAGTTTTCAGGTTTCTGAATAGTCATTATGTAGCCAATTTTCATAAAAACTTTTATTAAATACAACAAATCAAAAAAATTCAACTCAATAATCTCCAAAATTTTACAATTACATTTTAAATAAAAAACAATATCAGCTTTTTTATTGAAAATGAAAAAAAAAACGAAAAAGGACTTTTTGATATACATATTATCTTTTCGAATAAAATTTTCAGATTTTTTTCTGTCATACTTATCGTATGCCTGTCAATGTTGCTTTTGGAAAATCATTCACAAATTTGTATGTTTTTCATCACAAGAGCCACTCTTGAAATAAGAAATCAAATGTTGCCAAAAAATTTTTGAAAATAATTTAGTCAGTATTTTTATTTTGGTCGAAAAGGCCAATGTACTAAATGACTTTATTTAACATCTTTGTGACCAGAGATTCTAATCAAATTTGATACCCACAAGATCAACTTTTATTATTTTACGATATTAACTCTGGGCAGAAAGTTGTATTGCTTTTTGACTTGTGTGACAGCGACTCTTCGGTAGGCGTCTACGACCGTCGCACGTTCGCCGAAAACTCCCGAACTATTGTCAGCACCTTCGAAGTTTTCAGCAGGAACTTTTAAGGGTTATCGGCACTTAATTGCGGGCTTACAATTTTCGTAACACGGAGTTTCAAGCCAAAAGAAAGAATACCGCTTTAATTACTTTCAAAATTCCCCTGAACACGAAAATTTTTATACAAAGTACCGAAATTAACTTTCGTACTTATTCATTTTCTGTGTCAAAGTTTTTGTAACAAATGTCACATTTTTCTTAATAAAAAAATATTGTACCTTAAAAATGTTAGTCATTTTTTTTGCTTTAAAAATTCTGGTGTCAACAGCAAAATTTATTATGAATAAACAGCCGTTGATAAGATATTCTACGAACTTTTCATTGCTGCCAAACGATAATCCAGCAATAAATTATGTTTTTAATTTGAAAAAAAAACACAATCTCTCATTTGATGTCTTAGAACTATTTCTCAGAAAACACCTGCATTGATTAAAAATTATAAAATATTAACTCAAATTTATTTATTCATTCCTTGTGAAAAGTTGATGACGTGTTATTATTATAACCAAATTATTAAATAATAAATCAAATCCAAGGAAAATTAAACGTTGCGTAAATAACTTTTCAACTTAGTACTTTAATACATATGGGTCTCTAATTAGTGATGAATATCTTTTATATCTGAGACGCCCAATTAAATCACACCCGAAGTACAAAAACATCGCCCACACCAATTATACAATTGGACACATTCAGTACACGTGAGCCACGTGTCTTTGCAATCACGTGAAATCGAGAGCTCTACATTCTCACCGATGTGTTACCTTCTTGATTGGTATCTAAAGCCCACGACAGATACCACGATTCTCGACTCTTCTCCCTCGCTTCCCTCTCGTATTTCTCTAATGTTCTCTTATCGACCATTCCAGTTAAAGCCATAATTTGTCCTCCGATGGTGGATTTCCCCGCGTCCACATGCCCGATGAAGACCACATTGACGTGTTCCTTCTTGTCTTTGAGCACTTCTTCCTTCACTGGTTTCTTCTTGGGGACTTTCACAGGCGCTTCTTCGGAAGAAGGCTCGTCGTCGTCTCCTTCTGGGGTGATCAGGGGATCGTTATCTTCGACCACCACGTCCTCCCAGGTGCCCCCGTCGCCTGGAGATGCATCCCCGTCTGCCGGTGGGATGGGAGGGGGCTCTTTCACTTCTACCCGTTCCGTGGATTCAGCGTTCGTTCCTTCCATTACAAAAAACGACTTAAATAATTTCCAAACAAGGAGAAGGGGGTAAGACGAGTCCGCCCCAAACTGGCCGGAACCGGTTTAAGGCATCTTTCGTATCGTTGCAAAACGTGCTAATATTTTGATAATTATGACGCCGCCGGATTAGTAATTGGCTGGGAATGAAAAGAATCAGACACGGTTTTGCGCGTCATGCTGGGGCTCGATCGGGCCCAGATCCGGCTCTGTGCGTCTGATTACCTCAATTCGGAGTTTAATGTCCTTTTTGGGGAGAGTGGGAGCGCAATGGGGCGTATGGAGGGTGCAGGAATGTCCTAACCTAAACGTCAAAGGCTGTCAATCTGGCTTACCGTTGAGGATGGGGCTGTGCTGGGGGGAGGCTTCGGAGTCCTGGGACTGCGTCGGAGAGGTCTCGTCGACGTTAACTGCAGACTTAGCAAAAGAAAATGAAGGCACAAATTCAACAGCATTCACGTTCAACGTGGAAAATTTAGCTGTCACATCTGCATTGTGACTTGGAGAATTATTTGTCGACGTAGAGTCAGCTTGAGATTCCCAACTGTCCGGGGCTGTGTTATTCGACATTTTGTGCACTTATTTCGTTTAAATTACTCAACGAATTATTTTAAAATTAATAAAACTCGATAGCTTTCAGCTGCTCTAAATATCCGCGTGCGTTCACTGCGTGCCACCGGAAACTAATGGCCGACTGTCATTATAGTGAGAAAGATTTTCAACAAAACTTAATTAACACATTCTAAATTAAAATAACACTAATATGAATAAATAACGCTGAATTAATCAAAACACACTCCAAAGAAATGTGCCGCGTTGATGCGGAAGTCACTTCAAGATAAATAGATATAGTTGCAAAAAAAGCCGGATGTACGAGTGCGCTAAATTCAAATTTGACATTTCAAAAAAATGCAGTCATTTCAATAGTTATGCCGGGTGTCCAAGTATTTCTTATACCGGGTGGTCCACAACGGATACGAGAATATTCGCGACATTCATGAAGTTATTAATAAGTGTAACCAATTCAAATCCCATAAATCTAGTAATTACTTAATGACTTTCTGGCCGCATATTTTTATTTGTACCTACGTGTTTCATAATACTTTTCAGGCATATCAGATTTTGCAAGTCGTGCTACTTACTGTTAGAGATTCTAAAATCTCTTAAAATGTAGTATATCGGCATATGTTTACTTTGTAAAGACTTAATTATTTTGAAAAATTAAGTTTCAATGACTCGTTTTTTTTTCAAAAGTTGTGATAGAATAATTTTGACAAACATCTACGTGTTGCCCTGACGTTTCTCAAACGGTAGATTACGAAAACGCAAATTTTGCGTTTTCGTGCGTTTTTTATACAATTAAAACCAAAACTTATGGTTATGTCGTGAAAAATGTATGTTTACCGTTGACATTACAACCACCACGAAACTAAAGTTACTCTTGTAACTTTTCTGACGCCTTCTTTATTACTTATTTCGTCTTTGATCTTCACCAAAACGCGGGTTATTGCCTGTAAAAAAATCTGAACAACTCAATATGTACTCTATATAAAACTCTCCAAAACGACTGCAGTTAGGTACGAAAAAACACACTTCTTTGCATTCCACGTATATTAAAAACCTAACAAGACTAAGTACTCTGGAGCGCTTCCTTCTCGCGTTCAATTTTCATCTGTCTTTTAGCAGCCTTATGCTCCATTTCTTCATAATATTCAACAAACATCAGTTTCAAAGCCGGGTATAGCAGTGGAATTAACGGCAACTCATCTAACCTCACCTACAACAACCAAACTAAAAAAAATAATTTTGAATTAGTGTAACTTTACCCTCATGTTATCAAACGCAATCCCCACGTTGTCAGAAAAATTGTCATTAAACCTGGGCAATTTCGCATATCTTTGACTGAAATGTGTCAAAAGTGTATACTTCGCGTTCATTCTTTTTCCAATGTCGATCGCTTGCGAGGTTGTGGAATGCATTTTTATTACAGCTTCTGCTGCAAGTTCATCTTCCATTGTTGCTTCATGAATAAGCAAATCACTGTTTTGTCCTAATTCTACGAGATTATCTGAAGGCATGGTATCTCCAGAGTAGGTGATTTTGTAGCCGTCTTTTAGAGTCAAGCTAACACCAAAAGCGTTGGGGCAATGCCTCACATGGCAAGTACTGATTGCTTGCAATCCCAGTTTCTCAACCACTATATTATTTCTTTCTTTGTACAATTCATACTGATCTTTAAACTGGGAAATAAAGAAGTCCTCAATTATTTTTCAGTCGCCAATAAATAAAACGAGTTAAAGTTGGTGTTATTGATTTATGTCAAACTAAGAACAGTAGTACCAACCAATGTTTAACACACAACGCCAACTCTAATTCAATTTATTTTCAATTCCATAGCACACCACATGACAAAAATATAAATATTTACCAGATCTGCATTAGACACCAGAATAAATTCCTCTTCTATATTTTCAAAGCACTTATCATAGAAGCTAAGCCACCACATTATCTGTTTAGGGGCTAAAAGAAAAACAGGCTGTGGGGACAACCTTAAAATTTGCAATGCTGTTCGCCGCCCCTGTAGAAGCCCTATTAACCCTAAATGATGATCAGCGTGAAGATGAGAAACGTATATAGCCTTGGTTTTCGCCAAAATTTCATAGGCTTTGTCATGACCATAAAACCTAATTATTTGTCCAAATGTTCCTTCACCACAATCCAAAATAATCACGCTATTTTCGCTACAAATAACTCAATTAAAAGCGATTATTATAAAATGCAAGCACTTACTCTAATTCTAAGAGCATTCCGCTTGTGTTTCGCGTTTTATTAGGTATAGATGACCCTGTACCTAGAAACAACAGTTTGGGAAAATCCCTAATTGTGAGATGCTTCTGTTTCTGGGCTATTTGTTGTGTGACCTCATGTAAGGCTTGAGGAAAACTTTCAATAGTCATGGTTTCTTCAATGTACTGTGAAGGCACCAATTTCAATTCCACAGACCTATCACAGGCTTTCTTTGGTCTCAAATGGTAGTTGAAAAGGGTATTTGTGTAAATGCTGTAGTCTGAAGGTGAAATAGGTCGCGATTCCACTGATAGTTTTTCCAGTGGAAGTGAAGGGCTGTCAGGTTTCATTTTTTTAGGCTGTGGAGGGTCAGTACATTGTTCGTCAATAATCTCAGTACCTTGATCACCCAGAAGTGGAAAAAAATCATTTGATAAGAGATTCAACTTGTATTGTATTCTATGGACAGCGGAACTACCCATACACGTATTACTTTCATTCAAGACAAGATGGTGAGTACTGGGGGTGAATTTATCCATCCATTCTTTGTACCTAAATGTGAAAATTATACGTTTTTGGGAGATTAAAAATTGTGTACATACTTTGGATGATTCATGATTTTTTGTGGAGTGAAATGGACAACTGTGTGAGCAAAATCTTCATTCCTGACTGCAGTGGCTTGATGTTTTTTAAAAATTTCATTGTCTACTAGTGAATCAAGGTAGGCTTCAGATGGACACTCAAGCACTACAATATTTTTTTTATTTCCATTGCTTTTTTTTTTCAAAGTTGTTACCTATGAACACAGGACCTGGATCATCTGGGTCACAAACATCTGACGCCTTAACCACATTGCCGTTATTTAAAGTGATGTCCTCTCCTGACTTCAATTTCCCTAGAAGTGGACCTGGAGGAACCCCAAACCTTACACACTTATCTAGACAAAGAGCCCCAGGCCGTGGTTGCAACTGACAAATGTAGGCCATACTAACACCTTTTGCTTTAGTTTCTTGTAGCAAAATTTTGGAAGTTTCTGAAATTGTTGGGGGGCTCTTACGTCGCCCACTGTCTAAAATAATAAAAAAAAGTAAGTCACACCTCTAGTCACATGTTCACGCGTTTACATTCATGGGCATAATAATCCACGTCATCTTCTTGAATTTGCGACGAATTGGGGCTCTCGCGCTCCGTTCCATTACTATAATTATCAAAATTACGCGTAATAGGCACATACTTCACTTTCAGTACATTGTCTTCAAAAGACACATTTTCGTCACATGTTGCCACACGAATTTCCAAATCTTTAATAACAACGAAGCGTCTGGTGGCTATAAAAATCTCTTGCTGAAATTGAATTTTGTTGAAAAATATTAATTAAACATGATTGTGACAAATTACCAGGCCTTGGGGTCCGTGGAGAGTGATTTCTGGCACTCCTACATCTTGAATTGTGAGCGCTGCACCTGGCAGCCCCCCAATGTTAGCCCACGTGGGTTGCGTTATAAAAATATGTTCCAGTTTGGCCAACTTCATCTTGTGTTCGTGTGCCAAACGCTGGGTGCCTTCAGAACAATTAAACAAGTACCTACAAACATTAATGTCATTTTTTTGTAACGGTTGGTGGTTCAAACTACCGTGACTGGTCCGAAAACACGTAGAGGGACCGTGGGGCCCCCTCAGCCCCCGTTCCGAGCACCTGAAGAGTCACTTTCCCGGGGCTGTATCTGCTGAATTTTTCCTTGATTTTTCGGCGTTGCTTTTGAGCCTCGGGTATGTGTTTCTTTTCCTTAGGCATGGTTTTTAGCAGCTTGATTAGGTTAGAATTTAGATGTTGGGCATAACAACGGATTTGGAGAAACGAAATGCGACTACACATGAGATTTGGGTGACGAGTTGGTGAAAATAATGGGAAAAATGATGAAATACTGTGTAATTTTTAAATTCGTGTGCTTACCACACTTGACGGGCACTTGACATTTGGACACTTATCAAAGTTAGGTTAGTTGTGCCTATTATACTTATGAATAGGAGATTCTACTTGAAGTGAAGTTGTTTGTATTATTGTTTGATAACTGGCACTTTAGTATTGGATCTACTGGAATTTGGGCGTTATTAATGATTTTTTTTACATAACCTCACATTTTTAGAGGAATAAGATTGGTACAGTGGCGTAACATGGTCTTGGATTTTAAGGGGTTGATTACATAATTAACGAAGCTAATAGAGCACGTAATACATCTTTGATAAAAATGTACTAATTTTGAGATTATCTTTCTATCCTTTATAATCTGGTGAGTTCAATCAAAAAGTCAAAAATAAAATTTTGAAGAAGTCGTGCGCATGTCCGTTTGGTACCAGTTTGGTACGAATACCTCTGTCCTCTGTTGGTACCACAGGTTGGTAGTTGGTACGTATATCTCTGGTACGTATGAACAGTGTTGCCAACTGCAGGGAATTTTCCCTTTTAAGGGAATTTTAGGATAAGAAAGGGAAAAAGGGAATTTTTTGACAAAAGTCGGCAATTTTGGGGAATTTTTAGAAACATTCTTAAGTAGGCTGACAACGCAGCAAAGAAAATGTGAAAATTGATAAATCATAATTTTTTCAGCTTAGAAAAGAGCAACATAGTTTGGTAGGTCTTGGTTGTGTGTTGAGTCAAGAGTATACAAAATGTACTAAATGTAAAACGTAGGTCAACTTGTCATTGACAAGACCAAAAGAAGAAACAGGATTGGGGAGAGTTCTTTAAACGCTGTTGCTGTTTTTAGGAGCTTTTTAGAAGCAACAGAACTAGATGTTGTTAAGTATCCAATAACACAAGGCCATGCAGTTACATAATGTTGCAATGTATTCATTTAAACACTGATAAAAAGGCTAGATTTTTGTCTTTTATTTGTACTGTAATTATAGAACTATATTTTTGTTACCTTGTCTTGTCAATTTTGAAATTATAATGTTTGTTTACTATATTATTATTTTAAAAGAAGTTAAAAAGAAAGGAGCGTTGTTTTTGGGGAGGAAATTAGTAGATTAAGGGCGACTTGTATAAAACTTCGCTGAACTGCTGGTCAGATGACCAACGGTTCATCCGTTGGTCACTTTTGATCTGAGTTCAAGACTAATTTGCTTGTACATAGCGCGGTTAACGACAGGTCAGTTGACTAAGCATTTTAAGCAGTTGGTAGCACTGAATATCGTTGAAAATGGTTGAAAATGGTTAGAAAGTGAGGTTACATACACAATTTGACAGCGTTCAAAACAAACAGCAACGTGGTTCCGTCATTTCCGTTATTATTGTTGTGTTTGCAAGTCGGCAAGTTGAAACCTGAGTGATATATTTAATATAATTTAAATATTATATTATTTATTATTAGAAAAGATTTTGTTACGTCGTGGTAAGAACAGTGATGTGGTAACTACAGCGTATAATAATTTCACTTCTCATATTTTCCAGTTTGTACTTGCGAAAATGTGTTCAATGTCGTCCACAGGAAAGCCCAAATTAGTACGTTCCAGCAATTTCAGCACGAAAGAACAACACGTTCTGATATCGCTGATATCTAAGTATAAGAATATTATTGAATGCAAGGAGTCAGACACTAACAGTAACAGGAAAAAAAATGCAGCGTGGAAAGCTCTATGTGCTGAATTTAACAGCATGTGTGGCGAAACCGCACGTGATGTAACTGTGCTCAAAAATAAATATAATAATTTAAAGAAGAGGGCTAAAGGAAATTTTGCACAAGAGAGATCCAATGCTTTTGGAACTGGTGGGGGCCCGTCAGACCCGTCACCAGTTACTGAGCTGGATATTCAAATTAAGGAAATTATAGGTAAGCAGCCTCTTAAATACTCACACAGGGCAATTAGTGCAGTCCTATAGTGTGAACCACATTTTAGACTTGTGAAATTGGTAGTAAAAATTATTTTTATAGGTAAGCAAGTGACGGGTGATGACTCCATTTTTGATTCGGATGCCACGGATGATCATCCGACAAGAGAGAAGAACATAGAAGTTGTGGGCACTGAAGTTGTGGATGAAACCATCACCAACGAAATCAATGATTCTGATGGGAAAAATGAGTTAAGTGATGAAATCCAGGAAGAAGTGTCCTCAAATGTATTAAGGTTACAAACAAAATGGAATTCTCCAGGTGTACCAAAGCGAAACAAGACACCACTGCGCACACCACATGGCAATTTAAAAAATAAATTAAGCCAGTGGTCAGCGCAAAAAACAGAATGTGCTGTTTTACAGAAAGAATTTTTACGAGAGGAACATGATCAAAAACTTCGCCACAACGAGGAAAGGCATCAAATATATTTGCAAGAATGCAATTTAAGAATGCAGCACATGCAGGAAAAACATGATTTAGAATTACAATTATTAAAAAAATCTCTTCAATAAAATAAAATGTAATTTTGTTATAGTATATAAATATGTATATATAATCATAATATGTTATAGTATATAAATATGTATATGTAATCATAATAAATTTTCAAAATATTGGTTAATCAAAGTTTGTCTAACAATATTATTAACGTTGTGTGCACGGTTATCTTCAATTATGTCATCATCTATTATAGCTGCAGCAATTTCACGTTCTACGTCCTCATTTATGTCGTCTGGTGCTTCATCATTCAGTTCACAAGCTATGTTGTGAAGAACAGCACACGCTACAATGAGTGCTTGTATTTTAGTAGACTTTAGTCTGATCCCTAAAGCAAGTATAGGAAACCTTCTTTTCAGTACGCCAAAGCATCTCTCTATAGGATTTCTGGTCCAAATGTGTGTTTGATTAAACAAATTCTCGGCCGGTGTAACCAAAGTTCGCAGTGGTGTTATTAAATAATTTGTTACGGCATAACCTTTATCCCCTAATAGAACACCATCCCCAAATTCACCATTTTCAAAACGATGTTTTATTCTCGAATTAGCAAAAATATACGAATCATGTGCAGATCCAGGCCATCGGGTTACAATGTCAAGAATTTTCAAGTTTGCGTCACATATAGCTTGGACATTATAAGAAAAAAAACTTTTCCGATTTCTATAGACTTCAGCGTCACGTCCTCCTGGAGACAAAATTTTAATGTCTGTACAATCCAGGGCACCAACACAACGAGGAAATCTGGCAATATTATAAAAACCCTGTCTCACTACACTCTTTTCGGCTTCTGTTCTTGGCATTTGTATCATCTGTGGTCCTATCCTTGCAAGTGCAAAAATTACCTTCGTAATTACACGACTAGTAGTTGATTCATCTACGCCACTATGATCGCCTACCAATTTTAGAAATGCACCAGTTGCAAGAAATCGAAGTGTTATTATTACTTGTTCTGATGCTGATAAAGCATGGTTTCTGTCCGTTTGTGATGAAATTTCTGGGCTAATTTCGTTTATTATAAAATTTGTAACATCTTTGGACAGTCTATAACGTCGTTTAAATTCCTTATCATTATATATTTCAAACGGATCGATTCTATTCCGAAAAATTCGGGGTAGCCGTGGTTCCATAACCTAAATTGCGATGAAAATTTGTAATAAAGTTTAATAAAACAAAACACATTGTTAATACCTCATCTAATAGTTCTAAAAAATCTTCATCATCGGTTAAATCTCCAACAAAATCTTGATATCTTGCCATAATTAGCACAGGGACTCTTTTTTAACTTTATGTGGATTAGTAATAATACTCATATGAGCGCAACTAACGATTTATTTGTCAAATTTTCTATCACCGTCAACTGATTAATGGTTGATCTTATGTTGACTATGGTCAATCGCTTGGTTACATTGATCTAAGGTTGAACTGCGCGTCAGCGTCTGATCACCAATTGAACAAGTCACTTGTGTACTGATCGAAGGATGACCAGCAGATCATTTTTAACCTGACGTTGACCAACTATTGTACAAGTCGCCCTAAGTGTTTTCTTGATCCGAGAGAAATCTTATCAATTTGTAATGGTAGTAATAGGTAGGTACCTATATGCAAAAGAGAATTTTGAGGCTGAAAAGGGATTTTTTATCGTCCATGTAGGGAATTCGACATTACAAAGGTTGGTAACACTGCGTATGAAGAAAATGGCGAAACAACTTGAAGTCACCCACACTGATTGTGATTCCGATGATGAAATCGAGAAACACAGACACGCACTGTCGAAACTAAAAGACACAGATCCCGAATTTTACAATTTTCTGCAAGAAAACGACAAAAAGTTGCTGGAATTCAACGTGTCAGACGACGAAATCGAAGAGGGTGACGACGACGATGAGGAGACAAACAACGCTCCACATAAGCTCCCACAAGAACTGGAAGTGGCTAGCGATGAGAGCGATTTTGAGGTATTTGTAAATTTAAAATACGGAGAATAGTTTTCATGAAAATTTTTTCAGGATGAAGAAAAAGTAAAAGATAAGGGAACTGTAACTCTGAAAATGTTACGAAATTGGGAAAGCGCCATCCAGAAAGACACGTCAAATAAATCTATCACTGCAGTAATACAAGCTTTTCATGCAGCTCTTCTCACAGTAAGTTCAGAAGACGAACAAGAACCTTGTCAGTACAAAGTGGAAGGAGCAGCTGCTTTTAATGGAGTCATTCAGCTGTGTGTTATCCATTTAGGGCCTGCCTTGCAGCGGTTTTTGGGTCTCGCAGACCGCTCTAAGCAGCCCCCACACAAATGCAAGAAGTTCGTGAAAATTAAGGGGATTTTGAAAGATTACTTCATGGATTTATCAAAGGTTGGTTTTTCAATTTAAGCATTAACACAACAAAAATGAAAACAATTTTAAAAATTACAGTTATTAAGTGGAGTCACTTCAACCAATATCCAAACCGTGCTACTCAAACATCTCCATTTCATGTCTCCTTTCGTTGTTTCATATCCAAATATAACAAAGTCAATTTTGAAGCGATTAATATCCATTTGGGGTACCGCCGATGAAGGTGTGCGGGTCTTAGCTTTCCTTTGTATTTTACGAATTACTAACGACCAGAAATCCAAATTTTTGGACACCGTTCTTAAAGCAATGTACATGACGTACGTGAAAAATTCAAAGTTCGTCAGTGTCGGTTCGTTAGCGGCTATTAATTTTATGCGTAGATCGCTCGTTGAAATGTTCGCTTTAGACGCGACAGTGGCGTACCAGCACGTGTTTTTGTACATCCGACAATTAGCTATTCATTTACGAAACGCCATTACCGTTAATAAAAAAGAAAATGTTCAAGCTGTATACAACTGGCAATACATCAACTCGTTGAAATTGTGGGGCAATTTTCTAAGCGCTAATTGCCACAAGCCGCAGTTACACCAGCTAGTTTATCCATTTGTTCAAGTGTGTTTGGGTGTATTGAAACTTGTACCAACAACTCAGTATTATCCATTACGATTCCACGTGGTTCAGATTTTAATGGATTTGTCGCGTGATATAAGCGTTTTCGTACCTATCCTACCATTTATCCTTGAAGTACTCACTTCGTACGACTTCAACAAGAAGCACCAGAAGGTGTCAATGAAGCCACTGCAGTTTACGTGCTTGTTGAGGGCCTCAAAATCACAAATGATGGAAAATGGGTTCAAAGATTCCATCATCGAAGCCGTTTATGGGTTATTGCTCGAATATTTAGCCTCATATTCTCACAGCATCAGTTACCCAGATTTGAGTTTATTGTGCGTTATTGAGGTATTGTTCGTGTCGGAACGCGTACGAAGGCAAAATGTAAAAAAAACAACAAAACTGTTGCTACATGAAAAATTATTTTTGTGTTTATCCATTTTGCCTTCTCGTAGTTTTTTGTTTTATGTAATGATCTTTGAGAATGCTTTTTTTAGATAAAACAATTTTTGAAAAAGTGCAACAACGCCAACTACAACCGAAAAATTAAGCAGCTTATGGAAAAAATCGAACAGAATTCGCAGTTCATCGAAACTGAACGCAATAAAGTTACTTTGAATATAACAGATTTTAAACAAATCCAGGGTTGGGAGTCACAGATCAAAGCAAAAGGTACTCCTCTGGGAATTTTCTTTGAAAACTGGAACAAAGCTCATACATTTAAAATGAAGAAACAAATCACCAACAACCATCAATTGGGAGATTATAAGCTACCCACAGTTAATAAAAAACCGGCGAAAGTGCGGTCTGAGGGACCAGTGGAACTGTTCCCCAGTGATAGCGAAGATTCAGATGGGTCATCGCAGAAGGAGAAAAAACGAAAACGAGGAAAACGGGGTGGAAATAATGCTAATAAAAGACTGAGACGTGAAAGTGGGCCGGTGGAAGACGGAGGGGAAAAAGACATTGTAGAAGACATAAAAATGAGCGACTGGTGATAAATAAAATTAACTTTCTTAAAAAAAATACCTTAATTATAAAACTTATTAGTTAATAAGTACGTTTACATTGTACATTGTTATTTCGATGTTTTTAACAATACATCTACACAGAAACCAAAGTTTTTTTTGGCACTCTATTTATTCGCTCGATCAGAATAATTGATATAAATAGTAAAACCTAACATACATATATATACATTTATTCACACTTATCCTAAACCAAAAATTACATGGCTGATTTTTGGAAATTTCGCGTTGTATAAATATAATAATAATTATTTATTTATTTATTTATGCCCAACACCAATTACAGGACAAACAAACTTAATTTTAGAACACTAAATAAGAAAATAGAACCCAAAAAATATGTACTATATAAAATAATGCCATCAAAACACGTCAATAATAACCTATATCATTATACAATAATAATTCTAAAAGGTAGCTAAACAACAATTTATAGCGTGCGTAGATCTGGTCAATGACTGCTTTCTTAAACACTAACTAGTATTCTAAACGGAATATATTTACATATTCACAAACGGCATTGTACAATGACTCCATTAGATGTAAAGGAAACCTATCAATTAGGAAAAAAATGTAGACAATTTCGATTTCTCAGTATGCGCTTAACTTCGACTGTTTATGTTTATACTTCGACCGAATTCGACTATTATCACAAACATCAGCGATTAAAAGAAAATGAAATTTGGTTGATTATGTGTCCTCAACGCAGTGGAAAGGACTGATTGATTCATTCATACTCAGTTTTTTCCCAAAAACACTAATAAATTTTAAGAAATTCGGCAAAAATGTAATATGATGGATTAATTTTGACTAACGATTTACCATGTTTCAAATAATTTTAAAATATTTGCACGATTTCATAGCATTCGGCTTCTGCAATTTCAAAGTTACATTGTAAAATATTGTTATACAATGTCGATTTTTTTTCAACAAATTGTTGGTAGGAATTATTAACCAAATTTTGATTATCTGCACGATATTCGTAATCTATACTTCTATACCTACTTATATAATAAAGCTGAAGTGTTTGTTTAATTGAAGGCGCTAATCTCAGAAACTACTGGTTCGAATTCAAAAAATCTTTTTGTGTTGGATAGTCCATTTATCGTATCTACATATAGGCTGTATAACATTACGCTACGATCAATAGGAGCGAAGTAGCAATGAAAAATTCGGAAAAACGGGAAAATTATTCCTCCTTTGACAGCTTCCGTTGCTTACGCTGCTTAAACGGTTAAAGTGACGTAAAAATCATGTGACGAAATTGTTCCCCTCTAAAAGTTCTAAAGAAAAGTCCGCGACAGCATATGTTTATCTTTTAAGGTAGACTCAGTATAACCCTTTTTATGGTAATGAAATTTCTTCTAAAATAATAATGCATCTATATAAATAAAAATGGATCGCTAAATGTGTTGCTAAGCCCATAACTCGAGAACGACTCAACCGATTCGGCTAATTTTTACGAGGATGGTGAGAAAAATTTAAAAAACTGCCTAAAAAAATCTAAAAATTTTGTATGTGAACCGCCACTTCGAATTAATTTCAATAGTTGGTGTTCCTGACGGACCTGTCGTCTAACTGACGTGCCATACAAAACTATTTCTTCCGTGCAATTGTGAAAAGTATATTGCTTTTCAAATCGTTCTTTGTTTTTTTCGTAAAAAAAACGGGAGGAAGCCTTTGTTTAACGACAATCAGTCATAATGATACAGTTGTCCCCAACCCGCGCGGTTAATTCTTGCGGCCTTTTAATCGGAGAAATGCGGACTTCCGGTCGACGCGAGCCACGTGCTGTAAATGTGTTTCATTGTTTGTAAATTCACCAATCAAGTTAGTTTTCTTAATAGTCAGCTAGTGCAAACACAATTTAACAATCAGGATTATTTAAATAAACCACTTGGTAGAAGATTTCATGAAATTCACTTAGTCAGGAAAACACCTTATTGTTTAATTACAAATAAGCTTCTGGATGCATATACGTAAGCGTTACATTATAACACTTCTTAATTCTTCACACAAGATTGCTAATAGTTCATTTACGGCAGTTAAACAAGTTCATTATACTGCGAACTGGCGGGGGTTATGATATTTTCTTCCCTTAGGTGGTTATCATCGTTATCCTCATTAATTCATCGGGGCATGCCTCACAACGCCACAGATTGATTAATTAATCGAGGCATGCCCTTACAACGCTACAGATTAATAGAGGTCCGTCCTCGCCACGCTAGAGATTAATAACATCACCGAGACGCTTTTTCCCTCGGAGCGATGATTGGATATTTTTGTGTTTGTTTATTATGTGTTTTGTTGGGGTAACCAGTTCGCGGTATTTTAAACTCTCAAAGTAATTTGTTCTTTTTAAGTAACCAATCACTTAGATCATGATATAATTTGACATAAC